CCGGCTCCCAGGGGCCGCGGCGGGAGCGGGCAGCTGTGCCGAGATCGCTGGGCGAAGGGGGCGGCGCTGGGCTCCGGGTGCTCCCTGCGCCGGGGCTGGCTCACAGGTGCGTGTCCTCCTCGAACACGTCCGAGTCCTCGGGGTCCCGCTTGCCCCCCATGAGCGCGCCCCAGCCCGCCGGGCCGTTGAGGGCCCCGCCGCCGTTCAGGCTGGGCTGCTTCTCCTGCATCTCCGACTGGCTGTCGCTGGCCACGTCCAGCGTGGGGTTGTCGTGGCAGCCGTTCTCCACGAAGCGGAGCTCCTCACCGTGCGACTGCGGTGGGGGAGAGGAGCGCTGGGGGGCGCGCAGGGCGCAGGCCCCTCCCAGGAGTCACCCGCACCCGGAGAGCCCCATGCACGCTTAACGCGTGGCAAGGCGCTCCTGTTCTGTGCCCACTGCTCAACTTATTTCTCAAAATAATCCTAACAATCCTTTGCACTAAAAAGCCCTGCTGCCTCCCTGACATCAGCTAGTCCCTTAGCTCCCTCTTAGAGATTTTGAGAGACTGCACATGTGAGTTGGATCCAGGGTGTCACTGGGGCCCTGCCCCTTCCTCTTGGGGAAGCCTCCAGGCTGGGAGCTTCCTCTTGTGCCCTGGGCACCACCAGCCCAGGGCCTGTCTCCAGATGCCCCCCTAGGAAAGAGGACTGGTGGGTGGGCTCACTGCCCCTCCAGCACCTGTCCTGGAGCTGGTGCCCTGCATAACCAGCAGAGTGCCAGGCTCTGACAGACGGCTTCACTCACAGGTCCCACCTGGTCCTCACCACAGCCCTGTGCACCCAGGAGAACGACTGCCACCCCACCTGCCGAGGGGGCACTGAGCCTTGGGTGATGGAGCTGCGGGACCCTCTCTTCACTGGCAGCAGCCCCCAACTGCCCCCACACTCACCACATGCTTGAGCTTGGGCAGCCGGCGTCGCCAGCAGTTGTACAGCAGGCCCAGCACGATGATGATGATGCAGATAGCACCAATGACCACCAGCACCACAAAGAGTGTCCCGTAGTCACTGCGCACCTGGCTGGCCCGTGCCTGGCAGCTGCTTGTCGTGGAGTAGTTCTGGATGCCGATCTGGGGGTGGGAGGGGCTGGGTTCCTCAGCTGAGGTCCTGGGGTGCGTGGGTTGGGGCTCAAGGACAGGGCTGGGGGGGGTACACACCTGGCTCTTGAAGCCCTCTTGGGTCTGGGCCTGTGCTCATCGGGGGCTCGCTCGCCACACCGTCCCCATCCTATTCATGCCTCTCTGCCCCATGTCCACATTCCCAGCCTGCCTCTCATCGCCGCTTTTGCTTCCGCCCCACCCCTCAGTCTGAGCCCACCTGGCTGTGGCTCTCACCCGTGCTGAGCCTGGCTCCCCCACTGCTAGTCATGGTCCAAGTAGACAGGGCTCCCCACACCTGTCCCAACCAATTAAAGAGAGCGCAGCAGGCCAGGGCAGCTGGGAGCCCCTCTGCACACAGGCTGCCCACACACAACCACCAGGGCAGGCCCTGAAACACAGCTTCCACCCCGGGGGTGGGGTAACGCATTCTAGTACCACCCTGGGCCATGTGGGCTAGTCAGCTTCACATTGCCAGAACATCATGGGCTCCCCCCCACCCCACCCCCGGCTACCCAGCTTTGTCCCTTGTCCATTGGAGTGGTCACTGAGGGTGTTTAGCCACCTGGCACCCCTCGCGCATGGCAGTTTATCTTGGTTGGGACTGCCATCTTCAGCAGCAGCGGAGCTGCTGTGACCCGTGCCGGGCACGTGCTCTCTTCACAGATTACACCTCAGGCAGAGGGCGGCAAGGACAGTGAGCTGCTTCACCAGGTGAGTGGTGCCAGGTGGCTCCTGTACAGAGGCCCAGGCTTTATTTGGCCCCCTTTCTAAGGCTGCTCTTCAGCTTTTCTGTGGTTTTTGTCAACCACATGTATATTTTCAGTAATTTTCTCTTGATTTTTTGAAAAATTTTTTTTATAAAAGATGACCAATAAGGGGATCTTAACCCTTGACTTGGGGGTGTCAGCACCACGCTCTCCCAAGTGAGCCACGGGCCAGCCCTTCTCTTGATTTTCAAGTTTTTTTTATAAAAGATGACCAATAAGGGGATCTTAACCCTTGACTTAGGGGTGTCAGCACCACGCTCTCCCAAGTGAGCCACGGGCCAGCCCTTCTCTTGATTTTCAAGTTACTGGAGATCAGTCTTTCTTACTAGATTCACCTACTAATATATGAGGGCACTTCAAAAAGTCTGCGGGAAAATAAAATCAAAAGATAATACAAATCTTCCATGAACTTTTTGAAGACCCTTGTAGTTCCAAAGATCCAGTATGCCTTTGGCCAAGTCAGTCTGAGTTAAGTGCCCAGCAAGGCCAGAGTACGCAGGGGCATGGAGAAGAGGTAGGAAGGTCTGTATAAAAAGGCAAAAGCCAGCCCAGGTTTCCACCAGTCCCCCACTGTTCATGAACCCAGAATATCAGAACAGGAAAGGTCCTCCATGGCCATCCAGCCAGTAGAGCAGTGTGCTGAAAGGCCCAGGCTCTAGAATCAGACAGCTTGGTCCAAAGCCTGGCTCTCCTGCTTATTAGCTGTGCAGTCTCAGGCAAGTCACCTAACCTCTCTGGGCTTCAGCTCACATCTTGAATGGGGATCCCAACAGTTCTCATAGGTTGCCCTATTTGACCCTTGCAGCCATGTGGTCTGGCCTAAGTGAGAGAACCCAATGCAGAGTCTGTCACTTAGGAAGCATCTGATATGCTTACCAAAAACCACCACCACCAAAACTATCACTCGCCCTGTACACAGCAGGTAAGGAAACTGCCCATGATTAGACACGTTGATCTTTGCCATGAGGTACTGCAGAGTCCTCAAGAATGAAGAGGACTGATGATAGCAGGCCATTGGGTCTGCAGTGAGTGAAGGTAGTTTTGCTGGAGATGGTGTTTGTTCTCAAGAAGGGAGGTGATGTGAGAAGCAGGAGGACAAGGGGACCCTGCCCCTCCCCACCCAAGCCTCTGCAACAGTTCAGGAGGAGAGGCTGGCCAGCTGTCTCCTCCACCCAGGTCTCGCCAGGCCAGGCATCCAGCAGACTGCCTCCCAGGATGGCAGGGATGTCTCCTTGTCATGAGCCCCATGGCCCACCACAGCAGGCCCCTGGCTGGACAAGCGCTGGTAGACTCCCATGTGAGTGGGGGTGCCGGGCTAGTGGCTCCTGCCTCAGCATGCTGTCCCCTTCCACCAGATTCCACATGGTGTTTCTCCCACTGTCCTCTGAGAAAACTCCCACTTCACCTTCACTCCCCAAGCCCTGTCCTGTCACCCTCCTGTCACAGCCCCCACACCCTCTGAGCTCCTCCTGCCCCTGGACATTACATATACTGCATAGCTGGTGAAGTAGCCTCTGCTCTGTCCTGCCCATGGAACTGTGTCTCAGGAAGTCCTGGGACGAGGAGACCCCCAGAGCATGGGTCTGCCTTTTGCTCCTTTGACCCTCGCTGTGTGGGCAGCCTCCTGTCCTTGGGCCTGGCCATGCTGTCCCCAAGGCTTTGAGGAATGGGGATGGGAGGGAGCACAGCACAGCTAACTGTCCAAGTCCTTGCTCTCTTACCTCCTCCAGACTCCTGCGGATGTCGCCCAGCATGGAAAGGACATCTTGGGTGGGTACCACCCCTAGGGGAAGAAACACCATCATCAGCACAGCCGTGGGCTCAGAGGTTCCCCTCCACAGGCTCCCAGCCCCCTCTTGGACAGGTGGCCGGCACTCCCCTCTCCTAGACCATCAGACTGGCTTATTAGAACACCACATGACGGGTGTGGCACTGGACAGCCACTTCAGCAGCCCACACGCAGTGTTCTGAACATGTGTCCTCGCTGCCAGTGTGCGGCGCCCGTCCATCTCACTGTGCTGGGACCACAGCGGTTCTACCTGTCTCCCCTTCCCGGGCCTCACACCCTCCTCCTCTTCCCCAGGACCCAAGCTTGTGGGTACGCCTTGAACCCTGAACTAGGGGCTCCTGCCATGCTGGAGTTCTGGGTCGCAGAGCCCTCGCCTGTGTGCCTCCTGGCGCGGGCCCTGGGAGACGCCTGTTGGTTTAGTGCCACCTCCGCTGCCCTCCTGGTCTCCCACGCGTCCTGCCTCGCTCACCCTGCTCGCCCACCAACGTCATTAGAAGGTGCTGCTCCTTCTCGCTGGGCTTGCTCAAGGAAATATGCCAGTCCCCGTGGTGGCCGCTGCCGTGACGGGGCAGCACCTCTTCCACCAGGGCCAGGAGCTGCAGCCCCCGGTGCTGCCGGAACACTTCCTGCAAGGTCAGAAGGAGCCCCCTGCTCAGTGAGGGAAAGCGGCTCTGCTAGCCCCTCTGCATCTAGGCCCAGCCCCCACTCCACCTTCAGCCCAGTGGCTGAAGGCTGGGGAAGGCCCTCTGGCTACTCCCAGAGAGGCTGCTCTGGTCAGCTCTGCCACCACCTGAGAACTGTGAATATGGCCTCTGGGTGGGAATGTGCAAAGGCCAGGCCGCACACTGATCGTTCCTTCCTGCCCCAGAGACTCCTGCGGTTGAGCTGGGGGACAGATATGCCCATGTACGACAAGCCCAGGGTCTGGGCATATAGTGTGAAGGACTCTGGAAGAGCTGCTCAGTGTGCCTGGTTCTCGCGTGGTAATGAGCCTGAAGATGTGTGCACTGGAAGAGCTGCCTCAAACCAGGGGCCAGGGGAAGAAGCATCACTGGGCTCATCTCTTGCCTGTCGCTGCAGAGCCACAGCCCGACGCTGGTGAGTGGAGGAGGCAGTTTGAGTGCTCTTGTGGTCGTAGTGGTGACAGGAGGACCAACGCACAGATGGCTCGGTGGTCCCAGGAACTGGGTGGGCAGGAGGGCGGGAGAAGCTTCTTTCTCATCTGGCGTCCTCACATGCTGCTTAGGTGTTCACGTAAGTAGGTAATTTAAAACAAGGCAAGAGCCTGGCCCTGGATGGGAACTCAGTGAGTGCCAGGATCCCAGGATGGGGTGAGAGGCCGGACCTGCCCCTTGCCTCACAGCCGCCACCTGTTCACACTTTGCCCCACCTGGGAAGAGACTCTCCTCTGGCCCTGTGGCCACTCCCTCTCCGGCTCCTCTCCAGCAGCCTTCTCCCTCCTGGACATATAAAATTGCTAAGCCCCTGCTTCCAGTCTCTAAAACCTCAGCCAGACACCCTCTCTTAGCTGCTCAGCTCTCTTAGGTGCCCTGCTGTGGAGCTGAGGGCCAGGGCTGCCGGTAGGCACAGGCATCTCACCAGGCCACCCCTGTGGGATCCCCTGCCACTCCTAACTCTTTTCTGCTAGAGCTCAAGCTAATGAGCTGTTTCCTGGTTGTCATGCCAACCTAAAGGCCACCAGGGTGATTGAAGTGCTGGGCCTCTATTGCTTGTCACCATGGCAGGTGCCAGGCACAGGCTCAAATCTTGGCGCTCTCTGGCCTAACAGCCAGCCAATTCAGTTCTAAATTTGGAAGAAGATTGGTGCCTGGAGAGAGCCACACAGCAGCTGGGAAAGCCCTATTTCCTGTAATAGCTCTTCCCTTCACTGATGGAGGGCGGGGAGGACAGGCACAGGCTGCACTCTCCTGAGCAAGAGTGCATGCACTGTGACCCTGCAGTCCCACTGCTTACAAAATGAACACCCTCCTGCCCCACCAAGTGCCTCCCCCTGCTGCAGCCCTGGGCTCTACCATGTGCACCTGTCCCGCCTTCTCTTGGGTGGAGATGTCTGCCTGGCTTAAGCCCACAGACCCACAGTGTCAGTTCTGGATGTCTGATGACTAGATTTCATACCATTTATTCTGTGGATGGGAAAACCAAGTGTCTGTGGCAAGGCGGGAAAGCCCTGGCTTTGGAATCAAATTAATCTGGGTTCAAATCCTGTCCTGCCATTTATCAGCTCTGTGAACTTGAGCAAAATACTGAGTCTCAGCTTCCACATCTGAAAATGTGGGCAATGGTCCTAACACCCTAGGCTTACTGTGAGGTTAAAAGAGAAGTGCTTATGCAACCACAGGTGCTGGGACAAATGGATAGCCCAGTGAAAAAGAAGAAATGTCCCTTGAGTCCTTTGTCAGACCACTCACCAAAACTGATTTTAGATGGATTGCAGCTCTAAATCTTACAGAAGTAAGCATAGAAGGATCTCACCCAATGGTGACGGATTGGAATTAGAAACATTGAACTCAGTTGTAAATGTGTGTGTATATACGTACATATATGTGCACACTGATTGTGTGTGTGTATATATACACATAGGAGAGAGAGAAATACAGGTCCGTATCTCTCAGCTGTTCTTCTAAAAGGGTAGAAGCAATGACACCCCAGTAGCTGTGAGCATACCTGGAGCCCAGATCTTGGAGAAATGGCTAATTCTAGGGCTGGGCAGGGAAAGTCCACTGCAGCCTGAGCACTTGCTCTGAGTATGTGGAGCATGCACCTCACAACCCTGCAACCTCAGACAGGGCCAGTGCCTCACTGCTCTGTGTCGGCTCTGCTGTTTCTAGATCTTGATGATCTAGTCCTTGCATTGAATTTTTCAGGATTTTCACCAAAAAAGGTCAACATTTTCTCCTCCTCGTCCCTGTGCTCTAGTACTTCTCTCTTGAGCTGAGCAAAGGATTGGATCTCTGCATTTCTATAGCAAGGATTTTCTTTTGCTTTCTAGAACCCAAAGATGATACTTCTTGATTTTCTATTTTATCTTCCTGCTTTCTCTCCAGGATTTTCGTTGCAGACTTCTTTCCAGTTTCCTCAGTGTATATTACCTATGATATCTTAGGTAAACAGGAGAAGCGGTGAGTCTGCATTACTCTTTCTAGATCTTGAGGACTGAATCCCTAGAACTGTCTCTGTCTTGTGGAACCTTCCCTGAGAGACTGTCTGCACTCCCCTCCCTGTATGTTCCTGAAGACATCATTTTTTATGCACACCATTCTCATTACTCTTCAAATATGTCAAGGTCATTAAACACAAAGGAAAAATGAGGAACTATTCCGGATTAAAGGAGACTAAAGAGACATGACAACTAATGCAGTGGATGATCCTGGAGTGGGAGAAAAAAGAGCTATAAACGACATCATTGGGACCAATGGTGAAATCTAAATAAGATAGGCAGATCAGATAATAGTTTTGTACCAGTGTTCATTTCCTAATTTTGATAATTGCATTGTGATTCTCTAAAAGAATACTCTTGTTCTGAGGAAATACATTTAATGTATCAGGGGTGGGGCAAAAGGAAATGATGCTTTCAGCTTTTTCTCAAATGGTTTGAAAAATGCTAGTGAGTGGTGAACCTGGCTGACGGGCATGTGGAATTTCTTTGTAGTGTTCTGTCTGTAAGTTTGAAATTATATAAAAATAAAAAGTTACAAAAAAGGATGTAAGAAAATGAAAGATACTTTTACATAAATAAAGACTGAGCTATCCTTGCAGAAAGAGCTAGTGAAAGATGTATTTCAGGAAGAAAGATGTTAAAGCCAGGAGGGAGTGAGGATGTGCGAGGGCTCGTGGGCAAAGACACTAATAAACACGTTGAGAAAGAGAAGCAGCACTGGCTGTAGGGGATGACTCGTGCTCAGCGTCACTGTTCATCAGAGAAAGCAGGTGGAAACCCCAGTGAAACACCACCTCGCCTCTACTAGGATGGCTACTGCCAAAACAAACAAGTAAATAGAATAGCAAGTGTTGACAAGAATGTGGAGAAACGGGAACCGTACTGCTACGCTGATGGGAAGGTGAGATGGTGTGGCCACTGCAGAAGCAGTATCAAAAAAATTAAAAATAGAATCACCACATGATCCAGCAATCCCACCTCTGGGTATACACCCAAAAGAATGGAAAGCAGGGTCTTGAAGAGATATCTGCACACCCGTGTTCATAGCATCATACCCAAAAGATGGAGGCACCCCAAGTGTCCACTGACAGATGAACAGATAAACAAAATGTGGTCCATACACACACTGGGATATTATCAGCCTCAAAAAAAGAGGAAACTCTGACACATCCTACAACATAGCTGAACCTTAAGTATGTTATGCTGGTGAAATTAAGCCAGACACAAAGGAATATTGTGATTCCACCTCTAAGAGGTTCCCAGAATAGTCAAATTCATAGGAACAGGAAGCAGAGTAGTGTCTGCCAGGGGCTGGGGAGGGGAGAAGGAAGAGGTAAGAGAAATTGTTTAATGAGTACAGAGTTTCAGCTTTGAAAATGAAGAAGTTCTGGAGATGTGTTTCATAAACAATGTGAATACTGCTTCGTACTACTGAATTTACACTTACAAATGGTGAGATGGTAAATTTTATACGTTTTTTACCACAATAAAAAAATCCTCCATAAAGAAAAGGAGAATAATGACTAATTGATGGATGTCTCATATTAAATGAGAATAACATAGAGACAAAAACAGGGAAAACAGAATAAAAGCATGTTCATATCTATGAGTATATATGATTTGTGAGAAGAGATATTAACTTTAAATTTCATTGTTTAAGTATGCATATCAAAAACTTAAGGGTCCCAAGTGCCCATGTTGTGGTCCTTAAGTACCGTTTCTCAATCAAAGGAATGAGGGCTCCTTGGAGAAAAGCTGGCTCCGTGTCTGGGTGAGAGAAGAGCCTGGAGTGTCTTACTACACCAGGAAGAAAGGAGACCATCAGACACGGGCTGTCAGAAGGACCCAGGGCCAACTCAAAGAGGCTTTCCCTGGACAAAGATGAAGTATTTGAGCATCAATAAGAACAACAACCTCAGTGGATTAAAACTCCCCAACTATGTTAAAAATCTGTCAAGTTTGTGATGAGGCTGGGGTTAATCCAACCTCATCGGTTACTTTGCATTAAACATGTGCACGTATGTCCTCTCACTCTCCCCCAAGCCCATTAAATGAGAGCAAGGAATTTAAGGCCTAAAACCAGTGACAGACACAAAGCAAAACAGAAAAGGAGACAAGAGCAACAAAATCTGGACACTGGAAGCAGACAGATGAGTTAGAATTTCCCCACTTAGCAAACCCCAAGGAGCCGAACCCTAAGCCAAAGCAGGAAAGCCAAAAAGCAATCAGATTTATGCTGATTCATGCTCCCCAAATGCCCTGCTACCTTTGGAAGAGGGCATGAAAACGGTTCTGAAAATGGAACTGGTTGAAAGTCTGTTTAAGAAGCAGCTGGATCCTTAGGTCCTTTCCCCAGTGCTGCTCAGTGACAAATGTCCCTTCTCCTGTCCCTGACAGGAGACCAGAAGTGTATCCCTTGAAGAGAGTGAGACAGAGGTCTCTGACCTAGAGGACACCAGGCATAAATGCGTGTGGAGGGCGGGGGGGGGGGTGTCAATCATACTGGGAGTAATGAATATTGACATTTATACTTACAGACACCCAGCCCTCTTCCCCTACGCTGGCTCCCAGAACACTAAAGACCAGCTGTTTGTACTTCAGTAGGACAGAAGTTCCCTTTTCAAAGACACTAATCACACAAGGAGGAAGGACCTAACGATGTTGACATTGAACATTTCCAAATGAAATGGCTCAGCCAGATCACCCCTCTGAGAAGCCACAGTTGACAAACCCCACCACTAAGCTCAAGGCTTCCAACCAGCTTTGTGATACCCTTCCTTAGAGAGCCATGGCAGACACCACCCGACATCTGAGATCAGAACAAGCAAAAGGGGAAAAGCAACCTAAACATGGAGAAAACAACTTTTTAAAAAAGACTTCAATATCACCAGAGAGATAAGATATTGCAGACATGAACAAAATCATTCCTTTAAATTAGAAAGTGAGGAAGGCAAGAGCAAAGAGCCCTGAGAGATGTTAAAACATGAGCGTGCTCTTTTTGACACTGCTGAGTGCTGGTTCATCCCCAGTGGAGGGCCATCCCCAGGATCCCTCCCTCTGCCACCACCAGCCTTCCCCTGCGGCACGCGCCTCGCTCAGCACTCACACAGTCTATGTTCTCTGTCATGTTCAGAATGACGTAGTTCTTCCCAGCCAGGTTGCTCCAGTCTTTGCAGATCACCTGCGTGATGAGAGAGAAAGAAGGGCGACAGTTACGGAGGCAGAGGAGAGCTCAGGGAGACAGCATGGGGTGGAAGCCCTCTAGAAGCTGGAAGGTGAAGGCTGGGGTAGGTTAGTTACAGCTCGGTGGCAGCTGACAGCCTCTGCGAGGTGACCTACCAAGGATCTAGCCATAGTCCACAAAGCCAAATGTTTCCCGGGACCAAGCAGAGAATGTCTTAAGTGAGAGGAGGAGGCCGGGCATGGTACCTGGGATGTGAGCATGGGGTGAAAGCCCTCTAGAAGCTGGAAGGTGAAGGCTGGGGTAGGTTAGTTACAGCTCGGTGGCAGCTGACAGCCTCTGTGAGGTGACCTGCCAAGGATCTAGCCATAGTCCACAAAGCCAAATGTTTTCCGGGACCAAGCAGAGAATGTCTTAAGTGAGAGGAGGAGGCCGGGCATGGTACCTGGGATGTGGAGAACTGTGGGAAAGGGGTCAGGCTGCAGAGGCCTTGCCCGTCTGGAGGTTTTCAAGGGCAGGCTTGTTTTTAATGGTCTGGAGCCAAACACACAGTGGGCAGCCTGGGACCCCTGTCCTTTCTCTCTTGCATTCGTGACTATGGACACTGACTTGTGCATGCTTGCATGTGTGCATGCGTGGGGGGGGGGACGGTGGGGGGGGGGGAGATGGGATGGGAGAGCGCAGGTCAGCCACCAACTCTAGCTGCTGTTGCAAGTGGTACAGAAGGCTAAGAGCACAGCAGTAGCCTCTGAACCAAGCGCAAGCCAGGCCGGGCCACCCAGCTCCTCCAAAGGTCTTTGCACGAAAGTGTGGTGAGAACACCTATTGCTAAGCCACGAGGTCTGCATCCCGACAAGTCCCCTGGGATTCCCCATGATGCAGAGGTCTCCCTCCCCACCTGGCAGACCTGCCCCTATGCTGCACCGTCGTGGTGCAGCCGGGCTCCACAGAGAAAGGTGCAGATCACAGCCCGTGTACACTTTCCTTTACCTGAGTAGAATCCCAGGGGATTCTGGATTGAGTTTCAGGAGACGAAAGCTCATTCACTCATGTCATCACTCATTGATTTAGTATCTACTGAGGTAATGACATAGTACAGCCACAGCACGCTCACAGGGACAGTGGGAGATGAGGCCACACTGTGGAGGATCACAGGGACCAGGCTACTTGCTGTTTCCTTTATGAATATGAAATTAATATACATTTATCATCAAAAAAGAAATGAGCACAGGAATGTAGAAAGTGAAAGTTCTATATATTACACCCTTCAAAAACAGCCATTCATAGTTTGATGTATATATTCTTCACTGTTTTTATGATATGTTTGTGTTTCCTCATTTGGGTTTCATCAAAAAGACCCCATAGTCACCCACTGGGAAAGGCGCCCTTTGCCCTTCTTAAGGTCATTATAGGGGTCTTCTCGATGATGTCCCTGAATGAGGTTTGAGAACCCTCTTATCACAGGAACAGTTGAGACTCATAGATTATGACCACTGTTCCTAGAATGTGCTTTCTCTGAAATTTAGGCCCTAGTAGGAAATAAAAAAATTGCAAGGAGAGCCAGGGGAAAACCGGGGATAAGCTGAGGTTTCTAGAGCCTTCCAGAACTTACAGGGTCATGTTGTCATAGGAAAGGGGATTTTTATTCTCCTTACTATTCCTGGGAATTGTATTTTGAAGCAGAGAAATTAGGAGACCTCCTGGAGATCGGGCTGTTTTCTGGCCTCTTTGGGATAACTACATTTGAAAATCACAGACCAGCTTTTTTGGAAATTCACTCAAAATATCAGAAGCTATAATATTTAGGTACCAACTGGCTTTGATATTTATTATTTTGCCATTTTGACTGCTGTTTTGTTTTGAAGTAATAAATATCAAAGCCAGTTTAAAAGTACTCTTCAGGAGTGAGAGCAGTGGGGACAGGTTAGGGCAGTGAACTGGGTCTGCTCGTTTTCCTCCTCCCCTGCAAAATTTCTATAAAATGATAGAAAAAAATTTTTAACTGTCAAAGTGAGGTTAAAACATTTTTAGACAAATTTCTGGGAACATGTTTTAAGAGTTCTTTTTGCATTAAGGAGTGTTCAATTTGTTCCTTATCAGTTGACTTTAATTTGTGATGTTTTCCTTCAAAAAAAATTAAATAATAAAATATTCCAGTAGGGGGGGAAAAGATAGGATATAGATGGACAAAGATTGGCGAAATGTTAAAAAAAAAAAAATTTCAGTAGATTAAAAATTCAAATTTTCAATGGCTGGAAGAAAAAGTCAAAGAAAAGATAGGATATAGATGGACAAAGATTGGCGAAATGTTAAAAAAAAAAAATTTCAGTAGATTAAAAATTCAAATTTTCAATGGCTGGAAGAAAAAGTCAAGGAAAAGCCTACAGAGCAAAAGCAAAAGGACAAGAGAGAAAAGTTAAAAGATACAGATGACCAATGCAGGAGGTCTAATATCTAGCTAATATGATTTCCAATAAAGCTGAGAATAATGGAGAGAAACAAAGAAAAAATTCCCCGTCCCGGCAGCATGCATCTTCACGCTGGAAGCGTATATATCATCAGGGTGAATGAAGACAGACTCACACCTGGCCTCATTCTCATGCTATTTTAGAATTCTAAGAGAAGATCCTACAAACTCTCAGAGAAAGAAAAGGTTATCTATAAAGGAACAAGAAACATCAAATTATTATCAAGCTTCTACTTATAACATAGACTGCAGGAAGAAATTGAAAAATGCATTCAAAATTCTGAGGGAAGTTTATTTTGAACGTGGAATTTTATACCCAAGTAAACTATTATTCAAGTGTGACTGCAAAATAAAGACATTTTCATACATGCAAGGACTTAAAAGTTTTACTATCTGTAAAGTCTCAGAGAAGTATTTAAGGAAGTTTCCCAAGAAATCTAAAAAAGAAGACATGAGAAATCAAGAAACATGAAAAATGTCATAAAAATAAATCTCAGGATGGAGGTTGTGCTGTATGCCTAGAAAGCAATTGGTTCAAATTAGACCAGAGATCCAGAGAGCTCTGAGAAGACTTGTTGTAAAAAGAAAATTGATTCTGTAAGGAAAATATAGGAAAAGCCAGGGCCCCTCAGATGTTCAGAATCTTGCCAAGCATTTGATGTAAATATGCACATAAGCCCAGGTGTTCCTTGGTTATTGTCTAATGTAATTGCGCATGTCCACCAGGTCTCCTGGGTAATGGACTTAAGTACAAAGGTTGAGTAGCTCTGATCCATGGGGTTACCCCGCCCCCGGGATGCCCCCAGGGGGGCCATAGGGAGGCCACTACTGCTGCTGGAGGCTGTTGCTTCAAGCTATTGCTACAAGCTATTGCTGCTTGGACCTCGAGGACCCTCCCGGAGGCCACTGCCACTGCTGCTGGAGGCTGCTGCTGCTGAAGACTAAGCTTGTGTCATCTGCCAGCAGCTCCCAGGATCTTTCCCAGTTACCTAACATGAACCTGCATGTGAGGGATCTGGTAACTCAGCCTGGCATGTGAGGGGTCTGGTGACCCAGCCTGGCATGTGAGGGGTCTATGACCCAGCCTGGCACGTGAGGGGTCTGTGATCCAGTCTGTACAATGGGTTTGAAGGGTCTGAGCCCTAGCTCTGACAATACAAATGGAAACTTAGTATAACTAAAATAATGAAATGTTTTGGCTTTAGTTATGAATGGCTTTTTTTTTTTTTTTCCCTTTTTGTCTTTTTTCATGACCGGCAACGGGATCGCAACCCTCGGCGTCGCGTCCGCACCGCGCTCAGCCAGTGAGCGGACCGGTCTCTATATGGGATCCGAACCCTCGGCGGGAGCGCCACTGCACTCCCAAGCACTGCACTCTACCAAGTGCGCCACCGGGCCGGCCCATGAATGGCTTTAACAATTGTAGCTATTAGTGTAACCTGACAACTGGCATAGTCATGTAGCTTTACAGATTCCTTATAACAAAAAGTATAATTTAGAAGCTGAATGATCTTAGTAATAATTGAAAGCCCATTATAATATTTAAATGAATAATTAGACATTGTTCCCACCCTACCTTTGGTAATTACACTTTTTGAGTAGCAGAGTCTTGGTAACTGAAGATCCTTCCTCCACCACCCCTGCATACACACTGTAGGGGAACTTGCCTGCTCCACACACACAGCAGCCAGTCCTGACATGCAGGAAACAGTGACCACATGACTGCTGAGGAGACCCACGCCTGCCTCTCCTGCCGACCAGCCCAGTGTCACCCTTATGAATATAAAGGAATGATCAAGATTCACAGACATGTGAGAAGAGCCAGCCCTGTGAGGAGGGTGAGAAAGCAAAGCAGCTGACCTCTGAGACCAAGTGCACCACTGGGCCGGCCCATGAATGGCTTTAACAATTGTAGCTATTAGTGTAACCTGACAACTGGCATAGTCATGTAGCTTTACAGATTCCTTATAACAAAAAGTATAATTTAGAAGCTGAATGATCTTAGTAATAATTGAAAGCCCATTATAATATTTAAATGAATAATTAGACATTGTTCCCACCCTACCTTTGGTAATTACACTTTTTGAGTAGCAGAGTCTTGGTAACTGAAGATCCTTCCTCCACCACCCCTGCATACACACTGTAGGGGAACTTGCCTGCTCCACACACACAGCAGCCAGTCCTGACATGCAGGAAACAGTGACCACATGACTGCTGAGGAGACCCACGCCTGCCTCTCCTGCCGACCAGCCCAGTGTCACCCTTATGAATATAAAGGAATGATCAAGATTCACAGACATGTGAGAAGAGCCAGCCCTGTGAGGAGGCACGAGGGTGAGAAAGCAAAGCAGCTGACCTCTGAGCAAAGAGTTACCTAGTAAACAAAAGAGAACTTAGAAACATTTCTTATTAGTATCTGCAAAAGATTCAAGAGGAAATTACACCTCTGAAATAAGTGTATAAAAGAATAAAAATATTTTACTTCCATATAAGTAAGGACTTTATAATGGCCAGACCTATTTAAAATTAACTGCAGTGCATAAAAATGTAATTGAAGTGGGCTGGAGGACCACTTGGCAGGGAGACTAACAGAGTGAGAGTCAGATGGGTGCTTGGGAAATACAACATATAAGATCCCTTACAATCATGAGACTCTGCTAGGTTTCATTAAAAGATTAATCTGACAGTAGTGTGCAAGAATTAGATGAAGGAGTGGATGAATGGAAGCAGAGAAAAGAACTGGGGAACTTGTTGCAATGGTGCAGGAGAGATGCATGAAGTTGAAGAGAAAGATCAGACTCAAGAGATGACCCTGAGGGAAGAATGATCAGTGTGTGAGCTGCTGCGCTAACAGAAGAAGTGAGCTCGCTGGCTGACTGTGGGAGTAGCTCTGCCATTAACAGAGATGGTGATGTCTAGAGGAAGAGTGCACTGGAAACCTTCAAGAAGCCCTTGAAATAGCCAAGAGTTTCAATAAAGCCTGGGATGTGGTAGAAGAATGATGGTGATGTACTCATCAGCAGAATCCCATTGGGGTGGAGGAGTTCCCAGGAGGGCAAGCTGACTGAAACACTCCCTGTGCTCAGTCTGGTGCTGATGGTCCAAATGTTGGAGTCTCTACACCTCTAGAGAACACCTGGCTACCCAGTGGAGCTCCCCAAACTGTTTACATCCTCCTTTAAGAAGGCCAGTAACATGGTTCATGCTGTTGGCATGTCACCTGGGAGTCAGAAGACTCAGCCACGAACTTACCTGTATAAGTGAAAGGAAGTCCCTTCCTTTCTCTGGGCTTCAGTTTTTCATATGTCAAATGAGGATGCTGGTATATATGATTTCTAAGGTTCTTTCTAGCTTGCTATTTTAAGCTTTGGAGATAGTTCTGATAGATGTGTCATACACCAATGGCATTAAAAATACCAAAACTCTACTGTCCCTAATAAGAGTACAACAGGATTCACTAGATTATAAACTCTTGATGCCAAGCAAGGTGATTTTCTTCATCTCTGTGTTCCCAGCACCTAACACAGTAGCTGGCCCAGAGCAGAAAGGAGAGCAATGTGTGTTTGTAGAAGTCTTGACTCCCATCTTCTGCCTCCTAAACCCACGGCCTGTCCCTTTAGGGAAAAAAAAGAGAGAGAAATTATTATGTAAAATACCACTATTCTGGAAGTCTGCTCCACAGAATGAGGAGCAAGATAAGCCCTTGAGTGATAAGTCAAAGAGAATCCAGGAAAAGAGGCAGATCAGGAAAGGATTGATCGTCTATTGACAAGTCTAAATATCATCTGAATGTTCTAATATACCAGAAACAAGAATTTAACGGGAGCCCCAATGAGGGCACAGACTGCAAACCCAAAGTGTGAAGGAAGTCTGCCATGAGCAGCTGTAGGACAGATACCGCTAGAATAAAAACAGGGGGCCCAGGACAGTGGTAGTGAGACTGGATCCAAGTGAGAATTCAGAATAGTGAGTAAAGAGCCAGGCTTCTCCAAGAGAAGAACCACGTGTGATCAGCTGAGAAAGACACAACGTCACTTCTGTGACATTCCTGCCAAAAATGCATAACCAGAGTCTAACCGTGGGGAAATATCAGATGAACCTGAACTGACGGGGAATTCTACAAAATAACTGGGCTGGCTATATTCTTTGAAATTCTCAAGGTCATGGAAGACAAAGACTATGGGATTTTCCAGAATAAAAAAGATATGATGACTAAATGCAGACTGGATAATGGACTAGAAAAAACAACTTTTTTTCTTTTGCTGTAAAGCACACTGCTAGGAAAACTGGCAAAGTTGAGTGAAGTTTGTAATTATAGAATAGTACTGTATCAGCGTTAATTTCCTGACTTTGATCATTGTACTGTGGTTTTAAGAGAATGTCTTTGTTCTTAAGAAATGCACGCTGAAGTATTTAGGGTAAAGGTGCACCCACTGTATGTCAGACGGTTTGGAGAAAAGTCTGCACCTGTCTGTATCTGCACTCACACAGAATAATAAACATGTCTGCACCGTACGTCAGACGGTTTGGAGAAAAGTCTGCACCTGTCTGTATCTGCACTCACACAGAATAATAAACAAGCGCAGCTGCATGTCAGTGATGGGGACCGAGTGAAGGTAGATACGAGTTATTCTTCAGCTTTTCTGTAAAATTGAGGATTCTAAAACAATAAGGAGTTACAGAGCACGTGCACTCGAGGGAATCAGCTTTCCTCTTGGCTGGTGAATGGGCTTGAGCTCCCAGTGGAGACCAGAAATGAGCCGCAGGAGCAGGCAGGCCACCCTGGCCAAGGGCTCAAGCCTGCCAGGAGACTTGACAAGGGTGCCGTAAGACAGCAGACGGGGAGGATGGTGCTTTTGCACTTAGGCTCCCAGGGTCTTGGTGCCTTGAGAGAGGGACAGGAAGGCCCAGCAGGTATGCTGTAGGTGCGAAGGGGGAAACTGTCCATGGAGAAGGAGAAATGAACTGAGCTCAAGCAGGAAGAGAGATGAAGATGGAGGAGACTGGAGAGAAGGCAGAGACGGGGGGTGGGGTGTGTACCCACAGGTCTCCCACCCTCCAGCCCCCCGGCTCAGCCAGCTTCTGCACATTGTGGAGACACTGCTACAGCACTGCAGCGGGGGGCCGCTGTGGCTCCAGAGAGGGCGCATCCCACCCAGGCAGTGCCCAGGTCTGCCCTTCCTGTTTCATGTCCTTCAGGCACCCAGAGTCAGGCCGGCAGGAACCCTCAGAGCAGCTCCTTTAGTTTGTAGTCAAACCCCAAAACCTTGTCTGAGACCAAGACGTACCCACAGAGCACCCACAGATGCCCACACCTGGACATAGGTGCGAACAAACAGCTGCCCAGGAGACACATTACAGGCAGCGTGAAAGCTAGTTAGAGGGTTGGCTCCAGGGCAGCTTGTCGCTGTCCCCAGGAAGGGAGTAGCAGGGCTGGGGCACTGAAGAGACACGGAAGGTCCTCCACAGCTCAGGCCCTCCAGGCAGAGGCTCAAGCTGAGACTCAAGGTGTGGAGGGCCAAGAAACGACTGAATGGCATAGGGGCTCAGATGACACCTAGAGCAGTCCCCTCAGTGCACAAGAGCTCCCTAAGGGCCGCCGGGGTCTGGGGCCAGTGCCTAGGCCCCTGGGCTCCTTAGCTTTGCTCCCTGAACCTCTAGGGCAGCACTGTGAAGTTCCAGTGCCCCCTGGTGGCTTTAGCTGGAAACCACATCTCCTCTAGAGTCCTGAGAACAATCAGGTCTCCAAATCCCACAGACTAAGGGATCTTATAGCTGCAGAGAGGCCCTGGGAGATCAAAGGGCCCATCTCCCTCCCTCTACAGATGAAGAAGCTCAGGAAGAGGAGGGTACTTGCTCTAAGCTGTGACGTTAGACTTATGATAGTTGTAAAGTTGTAAAACTCTTAGGCTCATGTGTGGTTAAAGCCAGTGTCTTCTGACACTTGTCATTTAGTCAGCGCCCACACTTGGCCTGGGTCCCCAGAGAGGAGCGAGCTGGCAAGCAGCTGAACAGTCTCCACACGTCTCCCCAGTCCACCCACATCACTGTGGCCACAGCCAATCTCTTTAAAGCTGGGCTTGAATCACAAGGGTAGTTTAAGAATCTGGAGCCAAGCTTCAGAGTTCTACAGACGGGGGCTGGAGTTCTGGGTCCTCCCTGCCTTGGGAAAGGGACCAGCCTCTATGCACCACACACCCAGCTTCTGTGATGCGAGGCTAACTTCTTGCGGTTGTTACAAAGATGAAATGACAAGATGCATGCAAATCCCCTGGCCCACAGAAGGCGCTCTTGCCTCCCAGAGGGTCTCTTAAAGCTGCACTGCGTGTCTGTTGCTCCTTTGAGCCTTCCACACACCCAGCTCACAGGAGGTGTGTCTGTGGTTAGGTGTCATTGCAATGTGATTCCCTGGAACCCAGGGTCCTAGCACTAGAAGGGACCACAGGAGGTTATCTGCCTGAGGCCTCGGCCCTCTGGCAGGTAACTGGTAAGTCTAGAAAAGATGAGCTGGCAATTATCTTCAAGAATATGTCTTGAACTCCTTAGAGAAGCATTACTATGTTGTTGGCTTATTTTTTTTCCTCTCCCAATTTTCTTCAACCCAACTGTGATGGTACCTTTACAACTTAAGTCCTTTCCTTTTTATCTAGTAAGTGAGGAACACCTGCTAAGCATCCCCCTCAGAGGAAAAAAAAATCTGCATGTTCTCTAAGCTGCCCGATTCAGCCTGCTCTTCCTGGGCTAGACGACTGTGCACACTCCTCCTCTCCACCTTCCCACCGTTACTCTTCCTTATGAAGGCTCTGGATCGCCACAGTGTTAGGAGTGGTTACAAAACGAAGAGAGTAGATGCACAATACATATTTGCTGAACAAATTGTTGAAAACTGAACAAGATCCACTAGTTGAAGCCAACATTGAGGCAAAATGTAAGGCAGGATTTCTCGATTTGGGCGGCATCAGGCCGCACTCTGCACACCGAAGGGCACCGAGGCTCGGGGGCGGCGGGAGCCCACGCGGATGACGCCCCAGGGTCTCTGGACAACCTGGGTCCTCCAGGCATTTTTCTTTCTTTCAATCTCACTATGGTGCTGGCTTTTGTTCCCTAAATATATCATGTTGAATTTTTTTCCTCCTGTATTTCATCACAGTTTTGTAGAGGTCTCTTCCCCCAATTTAACAAGGTCACACTGGGCTTTGTCTTCCAGAGTGGCCATAATCTCAGGGATGACCTTTGGCATCAGCTGAAATATTAATGATTCCTCTGTCAAGACACGGAATTCAAACAGGCATCAGGGCCGGAGCCCTTGAAAGATCACTTTAAATGTCCTTTTAGGTTAATATCAAATCACTGAAAATTGTCCCGAGTGCAGCTTTCAAGCCAGTTATTCAACTGAGTGTGAACACAAAGACACTCAAAATTAAAAATAGGTTTGTATAAAACAGGTGCAAGGGAAGAAATTTTCAGTATAATCAAAAACTACTTTTTAATGATCAACCTCAGTGGTTATCAAAGAAATATAAACTAAACAACAAAATGACAGCATTTTTGGACTATCAACTTGACAAATGCTATGGGTTGAATGTGTCCCCCGAAGTTTCATGTACTGGAGACCTAATCCCCACTGTGACAGTGTTAACAGGGTGGGAAATCCTATTACGATAATTGAAAGGTGGGGCCTTGAAGAAGTGGTTTAACTGTGAGGACTGTGTCCCCCGTGGCTTTATAAGGAGAGCATGTGAGAAGCTCAGTTCTCTTTTGCTTAAGCCACTTGCCATGTGACACCCTGCATTGCTGTAAAGTCACCACCCATCAACAAGGCCCTCTCTAGACCTGTTCCCTGGATTGTGGGCTTCCCAGCCTCTGAAGTTGTAAGGAATAGATTTTATTTCTTTATAAGTTATCCAGTTTCAGGCAGTTTGTTATAAGCAACAGCAATGGACTAATACAAGTATATGTGTATATTTAAAGATAATTACCATCCACAGGAAACAGACACTCAACCCACTGCTGATGGGAATGGAAATAAGGCCACATTTCTGGAGGGCTACAGGGCAATAGTAACAAAAAACTTTAAAAATAAATGTTCTGAACCTACAATTTCACTTCTAGAAAGGTACCCTAGGGAAACAATTAAGGATGTTCACAATGATTTGGTTTTAAGGATTGCCATCACAGCATCGTTCATATCACAACAGACTGGAGCACCCCACCTCCACACTGCAGGGGGCGGCCACAGAAGTGACAGTCCATCCTTATGCTGGTGTTCTGCCTCAGCCTTAAAACTGAGTGTGCAGAGCTTCAGGTGTGCTTGCTGGCTTGGAAAGATGTTATGTGAAACAGCAAGATGTGTACAATACAGTGTCCACTTCTTGTAAAAGTATGTTTTATGTGTTTCCCATAAGGGAAAAAAGCCTAGAAAGAACCATACCAAAATTTTAACATTTGTTGATTCTGGGAGATCAGATTATGGGTGATTTTTATTTTCTTCTTCTAACTTATTTGCATTTAAAATTCTTTATATGCTGCTATTTATTCCTAGCATAAAACAAAAATCACAGGGCATTTTGGGGTTTTCTTTGGTGTCTAGGTGAAAGTGTTCTCTTCAGTGCCT